TTTTATAGATCTTATTACCAGCTTTTCAGCATTTATTAAATCTAATTTCCTTGCCTGTAGTGCATTTGAAAGAAGTGAAATTTCCTTTAAAATATCAACCTTCAATGCCAAATCATTTAAGAAATATATATTTTCAAGAGGAGTAGCCATGCCTATGCATTGCTAGATAAGTGCGCCAAACAGCTAGGATCTTAAACTACAGGCAGCCCATCTGGGTCCAAAAACCAATCTTTATAAAATCAATTTTAAGTTTATATTTTGGAAAGTTCAATTCGGTTGTTATTAGACTGATGAATAATAGTGTATATCTTATCAATGAAAGTTTTAATATTATTTACTTGATATATTTCATTTATAGAATTATCTAAAACAAGCTGGAGGCAGTGGTTTAAACAGTGCCATATTATTATGTTTGGAAACTGATTTGTAGCCCTCATGCTTACTTAAGATTTTCTTCCAAGCATAACGTTGGCGCCATCGGAGCAGAATCCAATTTTTTTCTAAGTAGTTATAAGTAAATCCAACATTATTTAAACTTTCCATTACTGAAGAGCATATTGTTTCTGCATCTTGCTTTTCTAATTCAACAAGTTTGATCAAAAATTGTTAGTGGTGCTACTGAATCCTCAACTTTTAAATAGAATATAATGACTGGTTTGCAAGATATTGTATGTCAAGAATCTTGTCAAGAATCAAACAGATATTAAATATTTCTTTTCTAATATCCTTTGCAATGAAATCTACTATCTTGACAGCACTTTTAGGAAAATGTAATCATAATCCCATGTCTAGTCCATTTTTCATTTGTAATTCAATATCATCTTCTATATCTGAAAATGGTTTACATCTTTTGGTCAAGCTATAAACTGTATTAAATACTCTACAAGTAGTCATTAAATATTTTGTAATCATGCGAGGGTGTGGAGTCGAAATTTTTGAAAAATTATTAGAATTCTTTAAAAAATATTAGTATGAACATAAGGTTAATTGAATGTTTTATACATGCACATGCAATACCAAGAAATATTACTATCGGAGTCGGAGTCGCTATATTTTTTAGCAACTTTAACTCTGCTAAAATTGTCGCAACTCCGCAACTCTGACTCCACAGCCCAATTCATCGTATCTATTGCTTTTGATATGGAATCCTGCTTAATTTGTCTTAAGTTCTCTATACAAATGCTGTATGCTCTCAATAAAAAATGCCTTTTCATTTTCTTCCTCAGAAAAGCTTATTGTATTTCTTTATTTTTCCCTGATGCCTCAATTTAACAGTTTTTCTACTCTTTTGAAGCCTGAACACTTTTTTCGCTTGTAAAATTATATGGCGCACAACATTTGCAACCCAACTTCTTGTTTAAAATGATCAATCCATCATATCTGTCTTTAATGTTCTGATAATGTTGCACAGACCAGAATTCATGAAGATTATTTTCAGTGTTAGAGTTGTTATCAGTTTTTGTCTAAATTATTGATGTGCTACTTTCTTAAAGTTAAATAGGTTGCGATTGTAACGATTTGTATCATCTAAAGCCATTTGTGAAAGAAAAGGTTCCAATTTTTGTTTTTTAATGGAATCACACACTATTGCCTTTTCATTGCATTAATTTTAAGGGTTAGTGCAAAATTAAATACAATTACTTAGTACTTAATGGTTAAATTTCTAAGTAAAAATGAAAAAGACGTAAGTGCAAGTCATGCAAAAACAAAATTAATAAATACAATACTGTAGTGTTATGAATAATTTTCACTGTCTACAAACTGGAAATTGCCATGTTTTTATACAAACAAAAGTAATTAAATTTAATTAAATAATTATTGCACAAAACATAATGAGAATGAAAATACGCTTTATTTTACAAAGAATATTATGCTACTTTTAAGAAATAATCATATAAATATGACTACAAATACCATTTAACAACCGGTTTGAACCGACTGAATCCTATCACTGCTTCTGGGGTACTGTAATCTTCTATTCTTGGTCCAGTATTGTTGACATTGCTATAACAGGGTTCCCACTATTAAAACTGAGGCTAAAATTAAGGATTTTAAGGAGATTTAAGGAGATATTTTACTAATATTTAAGGAGATTTGGTCGCGAACGACATTTTTTCAAAGTAAAAAGTAAGGATAATTAAGGAGAAAACGATTACATTTAAAACATAATCTTATTTTTTTCAATAAATTTTAAATATAAACAAAGAAATTATTATTTCTTTATATATATATATATATATATATATATATATATATATATATATATATATATATATATATATATATATATATATATATATATATATATATATATATATATATATATATATATATATAAATATTAATATATATATAATAACAAAAATAGGTTTGAAAACTATCAAAAATCTATATATTATCTTCTTTATTAACAAGTATAATCCATTCACTTTAAAAAAATTTCTAGATAAATAAAAAAAATAAAAAAAAATAAGGAGAAATTAAGGAGAGCAGTCAAATTTTAACTTTTTTTAAGGATATTTAAGGACATTTAAGAAGGTTTTTATTTTTTAAGGATATTTAAGGTTTTTAAGGAGGTGTGGGAACCCTGTATAATGATGAATGCTAACCTTCTCACTGATTACTCTCTAGGTTACATCTTCTTCTTAGATTATTATTCACTACTAACTTCTGATGAAAACCTACAATTAATTGCAAACTTAACACATACGACAGTTGCTGCGTTTTATCGTGCTATTTTCTTATTTCAATTTCATTCTCTACATTTAAAAACCTCCTATTTGTCCATATAGGGAATACTGTTGTCATATTTGGGCTGGTCTTTCTAATGATACTCTTTCTTTTTTAAGCAAGATCCAAAAACTGTAATACAGTAAGACCTGCTCTATTTGCCGAGCTTGAACTACTGTCCCCTTTTCTAAAGTTACATCACCTTCTTTTCTACAAATACTATAATGGTTGAAGCCCAAACAAGCTATCACCTTTAATTCCATCAACCAAAACTCATTCTCACTATACTTGTCATTCAGCAAAGTCTCATCCTTTTACTGTATCTGTCTTTTCATACTTTAAAAACTTTTAATTTTTTTTTTTCTTCCTGCAACTCCCAACTTATTAGTGGTTTGCAGCCTTGTTGAGAGTGAATTAGTTTTAACAAAAAAAACAAAAAACAAAAAAAAAAACAACTATTCTATATTATTTGTAAAAATGTTTGAAGTTAAAACAGTTTAATGTATGGTTAGTGTTTATTAACTTTTGAAACACTTTATTTTATGATAAATGTTCAATTTTAGTTCTGTTAAGTTGTTTTTGTCTTTTTTTGACACAAAGTCAACAAATATCAGGATTTAATTAGGATTTAGTAAGGATATTTATTGTGTTTCTTCTTTACTATTAAATAGTAGAACTATTAGAATATGTAAATAATGTAATAGTTTGTGAATAAATCTTTTTATTTTAATTTTATCATTTTATTTAAATTACTACATTATAAGCAGGGAAGTTTGACTGAAAATACAAATGATGTTGCACACCATGCAGATATCTTGGGGGAAAAAGAGGTAATAATCTTATAATTATTATTTATAAAAAATGATATATTGCTACTTTTTTCTATATAAATGTTACCCAACATTTGACAACATTTATGTAGAACATTCAGTTATGTGTTGATGCATAATTATAACTAATATGCATAATTATAAAGTAAATTTAATAGATAATCATTATAAGTATTAATAAATTAGTAAAATAAAGAAAATTAATTAGTATGTATATAGTAATTTTATGATGTACTGTCTAGATTAGTGAAATAGATATTGATACTAACTGTGGTGAAAACAATAATGTGAATAGTAATTTGTTTGACAATTATCAGGCTCTGCAATTATAGTTGGTGATGCAATCGTACTTATAAATGGCCATGATATTTTTTTTAAATATGTTGTATTGACGATTCATTTTAATTAGTTGAAGCTTGAAGTTATTATTTATCAAATTTATATATACTACTTTTATCAAATAGTTTATATAAAATAATAAACATGTAAATTGTTATATTTTCTGTAAAAATTGTTTTTTTATTCTATTTCAATTGTTTATCGATGTATGTATATCACTTATAGTATGATCTTACTTGTAGTTTTTTATTTTATTTATTCTCAGTATGCTTATACATATGCATGCATTAATTATTGTGGTGAAGTCAAATTTTAATGTTTTAGGTGCATTATAGTTATGATTTTTCAAAGATTGTTGTATACAACAAGATTTAAATTTTATTTTGTTTACTGATTTTATTCCGCAAAAATGATCTCATAGATTAAAAAAACTCAATAATATTAGGAAGTTGTGTGATAAAATTTGTGTTTTATGGTTTATATGACAATTGAAATAACATTAGATTTCAAAAAACTTGAAAACAAAAATGCTATTTTACCATAGAAAACTGATGGAAAACCATGGAACTTCTATGGGTATTTAGAACATTTTCCCATGGAAAACCCTTGGCTTTTTCATGGAAATACGATGGTTTTTCCCTGGGTTTTTTGATAGATTTTTCATAGAAAATTTTATGTACGGGTAACTAGTATGTTGTAGTTATAATGCTGTACTTATTATGTTGTATACTTTTTATACATATTATAAACTTTGTTATGATTAATGCTATTATTATTATCACTATTATTACTTATTAGTAGTTTTTTAATACTAATTTTCTTTGTTTATTATTACAATTTTTTAACTGCTTTTGTTTTTTTTTTAAATTGTTTTTTTGTGGGAGAATCGGTTCAGACTTTCAGTTCCATAAAATTTCAACAATTAATTCTATCAAGTATCAACAATGAATTCCATCAAGTATTAACAGGTATATAATCTATAAGGCCAAGAAAAAATAATATCTAACAAGTGAGACCACTAAAGATATGATTCCATAATCAAGAAACTTTAATTTCAAAAACTTGCGAAGAATCATTAAAAAAGCAAAAAAATTAGCTCACCACAGCCTCAACAACTTTCTCACCATACTGAGCAGGATCGTCCATTAAAATAGCAAACAAGGCATCAAATGTATCTTGCAAAAACTAAAAAAAGAGGTACTTCAAAATTAATTTATATTAAAAAAAAAAAAAAATTCATAACAACTATCACTTAAGGACCCTTGTAAAAAAATCTTCAAAACATATTAATTTAAAAACAGCAATCTCTTTAAACTTACCTTGGCAACTCTTGATCATTACATGTTAACACTCATAAATATCTTAAACATACCTTAACTATTTCCTGACCACTAACATTAACAAGAGCAGGTAAAATTTGATGAAGTTTTTCTTTCTGTCTTCTCCATTTTAATAAGCCAAGTAGATCAACTAAAAAAAAATTTCAAAGATAAAATATAACAGTATAGATACAACGTTTACACCATAAAAAAAAACTATTACCATTTTGTGCTAATTTTGTTGAGCATAACTGAAAACCAATTTTTAGAACTTCAGTCTTGCTATAGGATAAGGATGAATTCCCTAATTTCTTTTGTTGATTTACAGCATCAGATTTTAATGATGGCAATTTTAGATATGATAAGCAGTTATCTAACTTTTTAGAGTCACACTGAATATAAAAAATATACATTTTTATACATAAATATGCATATAAAACATTAAAAAAAACATTTAGATCAGCAATCTGACATCATACTGATTTAGGGCTAATACTAGGGCCCAGTACATACCTCAACTGATTTAAGGAGAACATGCAAAGCAGTTCCTGCTACATAGACTGAATATATATATATATATATATATATATATATATATATATATATATATATATATATATATATATACATAAAATTCTATAATTTAGAAATCAAAATACTATGGTCAATGGTATCTATAGTCAACAGTAACAGTAGCGTATTGCTTCATATAACAACAGACAGTGCGCAAAAGCGGCCACTTATCAGGAAAACTAAATATCTTCACTAAAAATAAAGATATTTGCAAACTTTAAAAAAGTTTTTTTACCTTCAGTGTGTGGAAACTTATAAAATATCAAAAAAAAAAAAAAAAAAAAAAATTAAAATGATTGTTTTAATAAGATATTTAAGTTCAAACAAAATCTAACCCTAAAAATCTTTTTTTTTATAAATTAGGTTCCTAAGCATGAAAGATTTAAAAAGGCAATTTAAAAACAAAGGAAGCTACTTTGTTGGAAATTTTTTACTTATTTAAAAAATAGTTTTAGATTTTCAAAAATTTTACTCTAAATTTTACTTTTATAAAGTTACAAAGGAAACGAGATTTTCTTGAGTTTTAACATTTATTGCGCACACTATAAACCCCCCTCCCCTATAATCAATTAAAATTTAATAGGTTAATCTGTTTATTATTATTTCACTCTAATTTAATATTTTTATTATATTAAAATAAATTTATTTTTTCATTTTTTCACATTGATTGAATTTTTTTCATTTGGGTTTTTTAAGTTTTTACACTTTTGTATTAACTAATTTTGTATTTTTGCACTTATACTGTTGAAAGTGCAAAAGGACACAAAAGTAACCACAAAAGTTTTCTTCAATTTCAAAAATCTCTATAAATCTGTAACTGAACTGAATTTTAACTGTAGCTGAACTTAAAATGTCAAAAAATAAAACAAGCAAGAGGCCTTACACTGAGCAGACAATAAAAAGATAAGATATCGATAATAAAAGAATAAGATTGAAAATGGTGAGTTTAAAATTGAGTTGAGCTTAAAAGCCCTAACTCAATTTTACCGCATATCAACATTATTTGATTGAAAATCAAACAAGATTTCAGTAGTAGCAATACAACAAAATCTTTTTATCAAGTTGACCTTGGTTCATGTTCTTCAGGTGTTTGGTGATTAAGACTTTGGTAGACAATTAGATCAAGCTCAAAGTTTAGTGAGAGACTATTTAATTTCTTCAAAAATGGAACTGTTCTGTCTGCAAATAGTACAAAGGATTTATGAGTCAATGGCACTCAGAATTAAGCAATAAAGGAGACCCACCAAACAAAATATACACAACATCTGGTTTGATGGAAAGTAATTAATTTTTGCAGTGGTTCGATGACATGTTTATTCCTCACATTCAAAAAGATGGTATTCAACATATTTTATATTTGGATGGCCACAGCCCAAACATGTCATTAAGTGTAGCCTTTAAAGTGTAAAGAAAACAATACAACACTAATTGGCATTCCCACCCATTCATCTCACATTCTGCAGCCTCTTGATGTTGGTGTATTTTGCCACGCCAAATATATTTGGCATGATACTTTAAGAACATTTTATGCTGAAAGTGGTTGAACCCCAGAAGAAGAATTTGTCCAAAAAATTTTCCTTACTGCTTGTACAGTTGTATAGAAGCAACAAAGCTTACACTTGTCCATTAAATCAAGACAACATTGACAAATTAAAATTACAAATTTTTCAAACTTTTAACACCTTAATAGAATCATCAGCAGTTACAAAATCACCATGCAGCCCAAGTTCTTTGCCTCAAACTCTTCAACAATCACAAACTTTAATCCTGCCTGCAACCCCAACTTCAACCCCAACTCCAATTCCAACTACAAAAATATTCTCAAGAAGAATTAACGACTTGTGTAAGAAAGTCTTGAAAGAGTTCCCTTGAAACAATTTTAATTCCAAAATGTATACAAACATCCTTCAAAAAAAACCCCAGAAATGTCAAAACAATGGCTCGCAGAAGAAGACACAAAGATTTTTCATTACGACCATTACATTTACTACCGTCACAACAAAAAAAAAAACATTAAAATACTTTTAAAACTTTAAGTAAAAACTATGAAACTCAGCATATAACAATATCAATATGTGCTAAATAAACACACCAAATGATTTTTTTTTACCATGTGGTTAGCTGCATCAAGTCTGAAAAGGTTGTTTTATTCAGAAGTGTTAAAAAGTAAACGTTATGACTGTTACGCTACATAGAGCTAATTTTTGAAAAAAGTTCAAGACTTTAATGCTGTAACTTTTGTGTACAAATACATATATATATATATATATATATATATATATATATATATATATATATATATATATATATATATATATATATATATATATATATATATATATATATATATATATATATATATATATATATAATATATATATATATATATATATATATATGTATCATCAACCATGTACTATGTACATGGCTGATGATTGCCGTATAGACATGAAACTATTAGTTCCATTAAAAGTTGTTTTTTCTATATGTAAATAAAAATAAATATATATATATATACCGCTCTAGTTAGAAAGTTAATTACTTTCTTTATTATTAAGCACTCTTAAAATAGAGTTTTGTATTACTATTGTAATACAAATTTAACATCAATTAATATATATATATATATATATATATATATATATATATATATATATACATATATATATATATATATATATATATATATATATATATATATATATATATATATATATATATATATATATATATATAGGCCTCGGCAGAAATAAATAAGCGCGAGAGCGGAAAAAAGCTCTCCTAAAACCAACATAGCGAGGCATGCGAGCTGCTCTTCTAAACTGCTTTTTGCAAGAACTTTTGGTTTTTGCACAAGCTATCTGTTTATTTATGTAAAATCTGCTTATTAAATACAAAATTTGGTTTTATACTTGTTACTAGCATATGTTTGTAACGTTAATGTTACAATAATATACACATAACAAGCGTCATTTATTGTGCCGTGAAAAAATTCTTTAGACATAAAATTTTTTAGACTTTGCAAAAACTGTGCCTGTTTATAATCCAATTAATTAAATTTTTTTGACTTGCATTTTTCATTTTAGTTACAATGGTAATTGAACTTTTCAGAGAAAAAAATTACTTTTGCGAGAGCTGCAAATTGCTCCCGTAAACCGTTTTAGGGGAATGTGGGCGAGAGCGAGAGCTAAAGCTCTCGCTTCCTGCCGAGGCCTATATATATATATATATATATATATATATATATATATATATATATATATATATATATATATATATATATATATATATATATAGAAAAATTATAAAAAATGTCTCTCTTTTAAAATTATGAAAAAAAAATTTATTTTATAAATTATTTTTTTCATAACTTTTTACAATTTTTATTAATATTATTTAAACACTTCAATAGCTGTTGCATGAATCGCAACTTATCAATTGATTCAATTTTAGCAACCTTTTAAATGTTTAGAATACCTGCTTGAAATGTATTGATTAATTACAATCGGTATAAAAAGTTTTTAAAACATGATGAAATAGACTTTAAAATATGTGGAATAATTGGATTTACCATGACCCATATAATAGGGGTCATGGTAAATTAATTTACCATGACCCATGGATCATGGGTCATTGTAAATTGACCATTTCTATACTTAGTCTTTATATAGATGTTTTATTTCAAAAGTTTTTTAGTTAAACCTCTAAAATCTATGTTTTGAGTTAACAATTTAAAACTATTAATACTTTTGAGTTAATGTTCATACTTTATAACTTCTTATTGTAAATCTGTAAAATTCTATAAAAAAAAAGTCTATAGAAAGTCTATAAAAATGTTTTATTTTGTATTAAAGAAAATTGGAAAAAATTAAAAATAAAAATAAAATTAAATGTGCAAGCAAAAGGATTTGACCCCCTACCCCTATGTTTTTCAGAAGCGCAGTGACCTAACTACTTTGGCCACAAAGTCATACTATTTAAATAATTAACAGTATTAAATAAGCAAAAGACTTTATAAAACGGCAAACAAATGCTATAATATAAAACTAAGGAAATGCATTTTTCAAGTAATAAATTTTCTAATAAAAAAAAGAGCGACAATTCCTCGCCATTAATTTGGGTTTAATGGCTGCCACGAATTCTGTTCAAACATGCTTGAATGTGCATTAGTACTATTAAGTTGCTCAAAATATATTATGATAATAATAAATCAGTTTTACATTAGCAATAAAACTTACTATTGAAATAAAAAGTTATTATTGAAAAAAAATCTTTAAAAATTCATTAAAACGTACTTTATAAACAGCGAGTTCATGAACAGCATCTTGTAAACAAGTTTCATTTTCTCCAATAAGATTCACATAAGACAATGAAAATGCTTTTTGAGATCTGTCTTTCTCTGTAATTCAACATTTATAATTTTGAGTGGATCGTCAATAATTTTTGTTCCAAAATTAAATTTAACCAAAAATAAAACGATAATAACTAACATAAAATTCATATAAACAAAAAAATTTATTCTTTGTTTTAGCTTTCTAATCAATATTGCATAAAAATTTACCATCAATAGTTGCTCTGTGTTTGAAAGAAAATCTAATATGGCTACCATACTTTATTTTCTCAATTGGAATTTCTAACTAAGATAAAATATATATATTAGATGCAAATACTGCATATATTATGTTACATCTATAACATGTTTTATACCAGATAATTTAATACAGAGTAGATTTATTAACACAACTTTTAGTTTTTTATAACAGTTTGATTTGTACTTGAGCTTTTTATTTATAATTATGTCAAATTTGATTAACACATCAATAAGTACTTTATAAGTATATCAAATATATAAATAAATCAAATTAAAAATTAAAAAAGTTTTATTTAAAAGAAAAAGGAAAATTTTGTGCAAGTTTTATATCCTGCATAAGTTTAGTTTTCATGTATATTGATCATGTATATTATTTCATGTACAACCTGACTTTGAGGTATTTATAACATTAACAAATAAATAATAACAAAATATAGTTATTTCAGTTAAAATAAATACAATAGGTTTCAGGCGGAGGTAGATCCAGGATTAGTTAAGTAACCTCACTATTCCTACATTTAAATAGGTGATTCCTACTTTTTAGAGTTCTTTTGTTCTTAAGCATTTTAAGGTACTTTTGTTCATAAACTTTAATCAGTGCAACTATTGGGAAAACATTGTTATATGGCAGGTATGAACATACAAAAGTTTGGAGTTTAAAATTTAGAAGTAATTTAGCTCCAATGCTAAAAAATTCTGGATCCACCCCTGTCAGGGAGACAAAAAAAGTTCTTTTATTGGATAGTTTAAATCAAAAGTATTTGGAAACTTTATTTTTTGAAAGAAATGATCAAATCATTTAGTTAACTGTAAAATTGAAAAAATGTTCTATGAAACTATTTGTAAAATCTAACAAAATATTAGTTAAGTTTTTTTGTTTTGTTTAATAAAACCATTTTCACTGCTTTTTATTTAAATACCAATACTTTAGATTGTAATATTACACTTTTGCTTTCTTTCTAGAACAAAATGATATTATTGGTATCTTACTCTTATTTTTATTCTTAACTATTATATATGTTGATGTTATTTGCAAAAACACTAAATATAAAATAAATAATATTAAACAAATTAGTCAAACACTTTTTTAGTTAACCCAAAACTTTTCTAGTTAACCCAACACCTTTCTAGTTAAATTCTAAAATACCATTTCACTGTTAAAATATGAGATATCTGATGGGATTGAATAAAGAATTGGTATCAAACATTCCCAAAGGTAGTTGAAAAAAATAAAAGAATCAAAATGATTAAAATGGCACTCTTTTAAAACTAATCTTTTTCTTTTTTAAATACTAAAAAGTTAATAAAAAATAAACTTTCTTAATGACATTTATTGAAAATTTAATCATTACCTTTACAACTTCTGACCACTTTGGAGTGGCATTATGATAATAAACAGTTGAATTATACTCAGTTCGTGGTGGTTCACCAGCACCAGGAACAATGACATTCTAAAATTTTTTTTTTACTTTTCTAGAATAAGCCTTGTAGAAAGAAGTAGAAAAAAGTAAAAACACAAATCAAAACAAAAAAAACCTCCATTAGCTGTCCTTCAGAATCATAAACAGTTAAAATAACTTGAATGTTTTTGTTTGAACTTTTCCCACCTGTAAATAATGATCATTAATTAAAAAAATTATAAACAAATATTTTACATAAGATTACCCATATCAGAAGAAAAGGAAAAATAAAAATTTCAATAAATAAACAAAATATATTTACACACCTTTCTCAAAATTACCAGAAAGCAATGTAATGTACATATCATTACGAACATCTCCTGAAATATTTAAATTAAAAATATTTGAATTATTCTACATATTTATTACATTATAATAACCAATTATTACATGACTTTAAATGACACTAAATTAAGTTATTATAAATATTACCACACTTTATAATAACTAATATGATTATCACATTATCATCACAATCATTCCATATGATCATTACAATAATCTTCATCTTGTAATTAGCACACTTAATTTTAACACATTCTAGATTTGGTGCAAATGTTAAAAAAACAACTCCCAAAAAATTTGAGCTCAACAGGACCACTTGATCTTTACCCCCTAGGCACTTTATTAGAAAATTCCAAAAAACCATCAAAAATTGCCGATTTCACAGGTCCAGGGAGGAAGTTTTACTACAAAAATTTGAATTTTTTTTTGTTTGGGTTATTTATTTTTACCTATATGTTTGAGTAAAAATACATGGTATCATAATTTTTTTTAAAAATTATTTTTATTTTTGTATTTTGAATTGAAAAAATTACAATATATAAAAATATACTCACCACATTTATGTTTCTAACAAAAGATTATTACTAATCCTCCAGAATATTTACTTTTATATTTTTCATTAATAATGTAAATCTACAATAAAATTTAGTAATTTCTATGAGGTGGGAATTTGAAAAGATTCAATTATAGTAGCTCAAAGAACAATTCAATGGTTCTATTTGTTGCAGTAGTAAATTGTTTTACAACAATTATTTTAAATTTGATTTTTTAGATTAGTAAATTTAAATTAATTTAAATATGTATGAAGAAGAACATGGTCACAAAACAGAAAGTGAAAGAGCACTAAGGTCTAAAAAAAATTATTCATTATTGAAGAAGTAAAACCAGCAATAAAAGGTAATAATTAGTTTTATAATGAATCCCTTGAGCTAAAAACTTTATCTCAAGCTTTCTTCTTTTTTGTTATTAAGGGTGTCAGCTTCCAACGGGGATGGAGATACTGCAGCATTTAGCTTAGAAACAATAATTTTTGCCTAGAACGTCAAAAAAAGCCACTATTTTTGCTTGTCCTCCTCAAAAAAAATTTCAAAGATGTGCAATAGAAAGTGTGAATGTATTTTGGCAAAGGTAAAAGAGCCATGGATTAAAGCTGGATTTTTTATACTAAACAATCAAAGTCTAGTGAGAAATCTTTTAAATCTGGCCATTTTATATTCAAAACTTAAGAAGCATGAAAAAAAGAGATCCACTACAGCATTTGGCACAGCAACAAGAGTTTAAAGTTTACCTGAACAAAATATTTTGGGCTGGCATTCCTGATCTTAGAAATACAATTAAAAATGACAAAAAAAGATCTGATTCTCACAAGCTTGAGTATTTGGAGTTTCTGGAGGACCAGATAGGACTAAGAAAGGAAAAGTATTTGGAGTTTCTGGATAGGACCTGGAGGACCAAGAAAGGAAAAGAATTTATGCTTGGATCAGAAGATCCAAAAAAAAAGTATGTATTTGTTCAATAGCAAAAAAAAATTTTGCTTTTATAAAAATACAAGGTTTTCAAAGTTTTACAAGGTTTGCAAGGTTTTCTAAGCAACTTACTTACAATTTGCAAGCCAGTTTAAAAGATTTAAAATAAAAGCAGCTAAACAAAAGTAACAATATTCAATCACAATTTCAATTTGTCATATAGCTAAATTAAATTATTTATTATTAAATTCTTTTGATATTTTTAGGCAACACTGTGTAGCAGAAAAAGAAAGCAGCATGTGAAACAACAATATAATAAAATTAGAGAGGATAACTAATGTTAAGATTGATATGGATACTAGTAAGGACTCTTTGCATGATTCTAATTTTAATCCTGGAAAGTGGTTTGAAAGAAAACCTTTTCAACAAAAAGTCACTGCTGAAATTCCCATTGATGTTTTTGCTGGTAATGTAGCTCTTATGACATTTCTCCAAGTGTTTTACATAAAGTTACAGGTGCAATTCTAACACAATCAGGAGCTGATCTGACAGATTTCAAATGTAGCCAGTCTACAGCAGCTAGGAAAATGAAATATGCCAATTATAATATATGCATAATATCTAAAAAAGATGCTCAACAAGCAATGAATAAATCACTATACCCATGCATAGTACATTTTGATGGCAAAACATTAAATGAACTAAATAAAGGAAAAACAATTAAAACTGATAGACTGGCTGTACTTGCAAATATTGAAGGTGAGACACACCTGCTTGGAGTACTTCCTTTAGCATCATCCTATGATGAAGATCAGTCCAATGGTGTAATGGACCTTCTTAAGGAGTACAATCTTGAAGCCAAAGTAGGAGAAATATGTTTTGATACTACTGCAAGTAACATTGAGTTAAAGAAAGGTTCTTAAATAAGAATATTCAACAATATAGGCAAAAATCTTTTACTTATTACATGCAGACATCACATATGTGAATTAAGAATGGTTCATTTTTGTAATACAGTTTCAGATAAACATTCTACAGGACCAGATAACCTAAGAAAACCTGGAGCAGCTCATCACGCTAGGTTCCTATCTAAAGCTACAGCTTCTATCCAGCCAAATTGAGTTCGTAAATCAGAACAATAAACTCAAGATAGAAATCAGGCTAATAAGTGAATTTAAAGTTTGCTTTTATGCCAAATGGTATTTACAGGCTAATGACACTATTAGAGCTCCTTTTCTTGATACAAAAGCAATACACCAAATGCAACAGTACCGAAAACTTTGTGCCAAACCAGATGCTATCGATGCAGATTTAAACTGTCTATACAAACATAGTTGTCAGATTCAAAAATGATTCCTCTTGCTCTGTTGAATGAAGATTTGAGGAGAAAGTTGTTTGAAGATTTGTCATTTGACGAGAAAACAAACCTTGCAAAAGTAATTCTAACTTTTAAAATGCCTATTTCAACTTGATACAATACTAAAAACAAATCAAAAATAGATATAACAAGATATAAATAAGATAAAACAAAAATTGGAAACAAAATCAATGAAAACCCTTCTTCCCTTACTCTGTTGGTTGATGAATTTTCATAGCTTATGTTTGATAGATTTGGATTAGAGGAAAAAAAGAAAAAAAAAATTGGCATTCGGTTCCCCCTGAGTATTGGTTTACTCAATCTGTTTTTAAAAACTTTCCAAACTGTGCCCAATCTTTAATTGTAGTAAATGATCATTCAAAAAGATCTGTTGGAATGATGCAATTTATTCACCGATACAACAATGAGGAAGATAAACAGAATACATTACTGACTGTTGAAAAAATTTGGTGTAGTTTAAAAACACCTGGAAGACGTTCAAACTTTCTAAAAGTAAATTTATTGAAAGCTTATCTTCTTGATTGTTTGACCAAATCCAATTTTTCAAACCAAATTTTCTCGGAAGAACTTTCAATAGTATTTATTTTACTTATTTGAAACTAAAAGTTTTAATTACTTGAAACTTTTAGTTTTGATCTCGAGTTTATAGTTGCTATGACAATCAAGAAGAAAGCTTGATTGTTCTCTTGATAAAAAGAAGAAAAAGTGGTGAAAATGAACATGAACATAACTGAAATTATTTGAACTTGAAATTTAATCTAATAACCTGAAACTATCATCAAATATTGTAATTTTTTAAATTTAAAATACAAAAATAAAAATATTTTTTGAAAAAAACTATGATACTTGAAACTTTTAGTTTTGATCTGGAGTTTATTTTTTCAAAATAAACTATGAAATTTTTGATGGTTTTTGAGAATTTTTTTTTAAAAAAATTGGTTAGGGGGCAAGGATTGAGTGGTCCTGTTGAGCTTAAATTTTTGGGAGTTGTTTTTTTAAAATTTGCCCCAAATCTAGAGTGTATGGTATTTTAGAATCAAAAATTTCCTTAAATTGACTACCCCTAATATATATATATATATATATATATATATATATATATATATATATATATATATATATATATATATATATATATATATATATATATATATATATATATATATATATATATATATATATATATATATATATATATATATATATATATATATATATATATATATATATATATATATATATATATATATAATTATTTCAAACAATTTAATATTCCAAGTTTTTTTTCAAATTTAAACAATTTGAACTTGAAAATAGCCCACAACAAATACCTGGCATGATGACATCTGGAAACCCTTGCTTTCTGGCAACTGCTGTATATTGGCTTATTAGCAAAGGGTGCTCTTCTTTTATCTAAAATTTAAAAATATGAAAAACTCTTTTTCAAATACTTGTAAATAATTATAAATAATTAAAAATAACTTCAATATTTACACTATTTTTATATTAATTTTATAGATTTTTGTATTAGTTTCATAATGTGCTAACTTACTTGTTGCAAATCTCCTTGGATAAGTTGTAATGTTAACCAAATACCTGGATATTGTGTAAAATGAAATATTTTAAATAATATTTTATTTATCAAAAACTTCATATACTTAAAACTTCAAATACTCAAAACTTTTTTAGTTATTTTATTTGTTCCAACTATTAATTTTTCACTTTTATTTTTAACTAATAGCAAGGCAACTAAATTTAAACCACTGTAATACACTCAAACCACAGTGATGTCTTAAATTCTAACCACGGCAATACCATCATCTATTTTAACCACTGCGATATCATACAACCTAAAGACTGTGATGTCATACATTCTAACCAGTAATGTCATATGTTCTAGCAAACGATGTCATACATTTTAAACCATATTATGTCATAAATTGTAACCATTGTGATGTCACACATTCTAACCCATGTTATGTCATACATTGTAACCATAGTGAATATATTTTCAAAGTAGTCAAACTAATGTAATGTATATAAAAGTTAAAAACTTTTAAAAAACAAAAAATATAACATAACATTAAATTTAACTTATATCCAATACTTGAGAAAAAAATAATACAATAGTACGTTAAAACAAAACTTAACAAACACCTTGTCCTGTTCCTTGATTGTTATTAGTTGATTTCTGAATGCATTTCTTAATAGTAGAGTCAATATCTTCATTACTTGGAATTCTGTAGCAAAGTAAAAATTATACTTACAAAAAAAATTACAGCCAATGTCTATTATTACAAACAGCTGTTATTAAATAGCTGATCTACATTAGGACTACATTTGATTAACATTAGGACTACATTTGATCTACATTAGGACTACATTTGATCTACACTAGGACTACAATTGATCTACATTAGGACTACATTTGATCTACATTAGGACTACATTTGATCTACATTAGGACTACATTTGATCTACATTAGGACTACATTTGATCTACATTAGGACTACATTTAATCTACATTAGGAATATACTTGATAGTGATCTACACTAAAAAGTTGTATTTTTTGTGTAAAGGAATTTTTTGTACAGCTTTTAGTAAACTGTAATTGTAATTAATTAGTATATAACTATAGTTCAAAAATTAACTTATTCAAACATTTTTTTATATATCAACTAGTTGTAAAATTACATTTTTTTCGGAAAATTACATTTAGGATTTCCATAAGTTTTTATCTAATAGTACAATTTTTATCTAATACTTTTATCTATTATAATACTAATACTTTTATATATTATAAGAGTTTAATATTAAATATAAAATGTATGTTTGTTCAAAATTTTGTTTTTGTATCATTAATGTTGATGATAATATCTATAAAATTAACTCATATAGTTAGGTTAATTTTGTACACAGAAGATAAAATTAAATTTTTTAGTGTTAAAATTCTATTTAAAAACTTTAATTTAAAAAAGATAAATAAACAAATAAATAACAATATAATAAATTTATTTTACAAAAAATTATAATAGTTTAACAGTTTATTAACAGTATATAAATAATGATTCTGTTATTCAAACTATTATTGGATCACAAGAGTTTTTAACATAATTATCATTGACAATTAGTTGAAGATAAAGAATATAAAAATAATAGTAAAAAAAAAAAAAAGTTAAAAATTATTTGATAAAGGTTTATTGTTTGAAAGTTAATAAGTTTTAGATTTTTCATTTTTTTTTTTTTGGTTTTGTATAAAAAGTTAATCTTTTAGTTAAAAAATGTTACAATCACTAAATCAAAATTATTACTATCAAATTACAATTTATATATATTAAATATATATCAATATATATCAAATATATATCAATATATATCAAATATATATCAATATATATCAAATATATATCAACATATATCAAATATATATCAAATATATATCAATATATATCAAATATATATCAATATATATCAAATGTATATCAATATATATCAAATATCAATATATATATATATATATATATATATATATATATATATATATATATATATATATATATATATATATATATATATATATATAGATATATATATATAGATATATATATATAGATATATATATATAGATATATATATATAGATATATATATATAGATATATATATATAGATATATATATATGTGCAATTGCTCACTTTTTTTGCTAGCCTAAATCAAGTGAGCATTTTTAGAAAACGATGAGGGAAAACGAAGAATAATGAATGAAAATGTTGCTGACCCATACCAAACCCTCAGTCGATGTAGCAGCACTCCACGGCGAGTCAGGCTATTTGTCAGTCGATGTATGTACTGAAGCCCCCGGCAGCAGGCTATTCGACATTAGGTGAGTATGACATCATCATGCTCACCTAACTCAGCAGTATAAGATATATATCTATATATATATATATACATATATATATATATATATCTAGAGAGAGAGAGAGAGAGAGCAATTAATATTATAAATAAGTTTAAGACTAAAAGCCACAGGATGTGGAAGAAACTTTCCATAAATTTACAATGGCAAAGGTCGATTCTCAGTTCAGTAGCAAAAAATCTGAACCAATCAGAGAGAATAGCTAAAAAATTCAAGGCTTCACAAGCTTATGTCTAAGAAGCATTGAAATTAAAGCATTTAATTAAAAAAAATGTACCCAAAAGAAGTTTAGATGCACAAAAAAGTTGGTAAAAATAATGGTAAATAAAAATATGTGCTTAATGAAAAAAAATGACATATTTTTCACAACTTCCACAAATTTACTATAAAATCTAGTTTTGCGCATAATTATATGCATAAAATGCATTTTTTACGTAAAATTGGTATCACAGATCAGGTGGGAGAGAGGTTCAGGTATATGTGATCATTTGTGACAGAAGGAAAGGGGTAAGAATCGACAAATATAGGATGACGTGCTGTATGCATGACCCTACCTAATTGCATTTACAAACAATTTGTTTTACTAAAAAAAAAAAAAAAAAAGGTTTCAAGTTAAAACTTCTAACTGATTTTTTTCATATTAGGAGAATAGCAAATAAATTTTTTTTTAATGTCTAAATAAAAATATTCATATAATTCTTATTTTTATTTATTATGTATTTATTTAATTATGTCAACCAAAATAAGAATACATAAACAAATAAAAAAAACAATAATATAAATAATTTTAATTAACATTAAAAAAAAAATAAAAGATTTTTTTTCTAAATTCTCCTAATATTTAAATGTTTCAGTTAAACCATTGCAACAAAATAAGAATTATTAACTTGTCAAACCAACACAACAAAATAAAAATTACTTAATGGCGTAATTAATTTGGTTAACAAAAAAGCGCCAAAACTTTAGTAAATGCATGTAGTTTTGATTTACGTTACACAAATTTAAAATAAAAATGTGCTTTAACTAAGCATTGTTATTCAAACTTTAAATGTAAAAACTTAACATTTAATATTCTTTTGCATATATTATTAAAAACTTATGCTTTTTAACTAAATTTTAGAAAAAACAATGTTGTTTTTTCTAAAGTAACATGGTTACGTCCACCAGTAAATTTGTGTATTCAAAGAAATCCCTTTAAATCAACTTTTTATTATTAGATAAAACTAAACAAGATAAACAAATGATTAAAATGATGATTAAAAAATGGTCACAATAATGTTTTTCTTAACTAAGGTTACATGAAGATTCACAATCATGTTTTTGTTAACTTGGATACATAAGATTCACAGTCATGTTTTTGTTAACAATTCACAATCATGTTTTTGTTAACTTAGATTACATGAAGATTGCAATTCATGTTTAAAATAACATTTTATAATGATACTTTTTTTATCATGCGACAATAAGAAAAACTGTAATTTTTTAAAGCATAAAAATGACTTGAATAAATTAACTTTTGTATTAAATGTATATTTTGAAAAAACTTTCATGTGTCTACATTAATATTCATTTAATTTTTTGGCAAAAATTATTTCAACAAAAGTACACACCTAACTATTTAGAACCTACTTTTGTTGAAATAATTTTTCCCAAAAAATTAAATATTAGTGTTGGTTGCATATATAGCAGGGTTGGCATTATACCCGCCCAATAAAACCCAAAAAATCCCGCCTAAAAAAACCCAATAAAACCCTGGAAAATCTGGGTTTTATTGGGTTTTTTTTAAAGATATTTTATAAGTTTATGAACTATTATAACCAACTTTAACATTATAACTATAATATTATTTACTAAAATAACTATTCACTATTATTATTAACTTAATTAATATTAACTATTATTATTAACTATTATAATCAACAATAACAGCTATTAAAGCAGGTTTACTATTATTTGAATCATTATTTGGAAATACATTATTACAATTTTTATTCAAATATTTTTATCGATTGAGATTTTTTTTACTTTATGTTATTCACCTCCCAAGTTGAATTTAAATGAGTAGTAGTGACCAGAGAAGCCAACACAACAGTCGAGGAGGCTACCTTATTGTGGTTACAACTCTCTTAATTGAAACTTCAGTTACTACCTCCCATTCTCTAGCCTTCTTTTTCACATTTTCTCATTGACATTTTTAATTATATAGAATAATACTTTTAAATTTAAAATAAATCAATACATATAGATTAAGCGTGAAATTTTTTTTTTCAATTACAGTTTTAAATTATATTTAAAAATCTTTTTCAAAATAATTTGAAAAATTCTTGTTAGAAATTATTAAAGAACAATATATAAAATATATTTTAAATAAAGTTAAAGTAGAAAAAAACTAATTTTCAATATCATTAAACAAAAACACAAAAAAAATTTTTTACAGAGACAAAATAAAAATTAAACCCAAATTTACCCAATAAAACCCACTGGGCTGGGTTTTTTTAAAAAAACCCGGGTTTTTGCCAACCCTGATATATAGACATCCTAGCATGGATGAAAACAATTTCAATAATAAAATGTTTGTTTTTCTCCAAAAAATATCTTCTGAAAATAAAGTTTTTCTACTTGCTGATTTTAACATATATCGGATACAGTCAAACACTGTCTTTGCAACTTCTGAGTTTTTAAACTTACTTCTTATAATATTTGCCCATTTATTACACTACCAATGAGAGTTACTGGCCATTCTGCTACAATCATTCACAATATTTTTCAAACAACTAACCAAATTATTTCAGGAAACTAACCAAATTATTTCAGGAAATTAACCAAATTATTTCAGAAAATCTAACAACTTCTATTTCTGACCATCTACCTCAATTCTTCTTGTTTATCTTAATTTCAAAATTATTTATACCACACAATCATAATTTATACTGCAGGAACTTTAAAAATTTTAATAATAAAATAATTATTTAAATCTGAATTATTAAAAGTTGTTTGGAATGACATTACCAATAAAAACAATGTTAACTCCAGTTTTGAATCATTTATTTCTCAAACAACATTGTTGTTAGATTGTCATGTGCCACTCAAAAAAAATAGTATTAAGAGCTACAAAAACCAATTCAAGCCATGGATTACTAAAGGAATAATAAAATCAATTCAAATTCGAAATCATATTCAAGGGAAAATTTTAAGTATAAAAGATCCAACAAATATAATTAAACTAAAAACTATCTTTAAAAGCTATAAATATACCATAATTAATCTAATAAAACTGAGTAAAAAAATACATTTCAAAAAATTCTTTTTAGAAAATATAAAAAATCTTTGTGAGACCTAGAAAGGCATAAAAAGTCTAATAAATGTCAAAAATGTCAATAATATACCTCCAAATTGCTTACAAGTTAACAAAACATACATAACTAAACCAACTCCAATCTGCAAAGAATTCAACAACTTTTTCACAAAGCTCATAAACTTAATTCTAAAATTTACTTATCTTACATTAGCTATAAAAAGTATCTTAAACATCCAAATCTTTTTAGTTTACTGATATCTCCAACAAACCATTCTGAAATCTCATCACTTACATCTAAATTAAAACCTAGAAAATCAATCCTAACAGCATCCCCACAAACATTCTTATTGATTTTAATTCTGAATTTTCTCATATTTTCTCTAAGCTATTTAACATCTCCTTCTTAAATGAGATTTTTACTGATATTTTGAAATTACCTTGTGTCATTCCAGTATATAAAAATGGCTCAAAGCTCTCATGTACTAACTATAGACCAATTTCAATTCTTTCTAACATTAGCAAGCTCTTTGAAAAACCAATGTACTCTAGATTATACTCATTTTTGAATTCCTTCAACTGTCTAAATGAATTTCAGTTTGGATTTCGATCTACTTGCCACACTTTAATAAGTATAACCGAAAAAAAAAAAAAGTCACTGGATACTCGTTATTTCGTAGGTGGTGTTTTTATCGACTTACAAAAAGCGTTTGACACCGTTAATCATACCATTTTAATTTCTAAACTTGAACATTACGGAATCAGAGAAGTTGCTTGTAACTGGTTTCAATCTTATCTTTCAGATCGAATACAGTTTGTTAGTATTAATGGTTACAAATCAAATAACGAACATATAGTTTGTGATGTTCCCCAGGGTTCTGTTCTTGGCACTTTATTGTTTTTAAAATTATATTAATGATCTAAATAACTCTGTTCATTTCTTATCAGTCCATCTGTTTACTGATGATAATAATATCTTGTATATTATTAAGTCTCGTCATTCTTTGTGCAAGATTATAAACTTAGACCTAAAAGATTTAGTTCATTGGATAAATGCAAACTTAATTTCTCTGAACTTGGAAAAAACTGAATTAATTTTTTTCATCTCTAAGACAAAAAACTTTATACAACAATCATATAACTAAAATTAAAATGAATAAGAGACGTTTATATCCAACACACGTTAAATATCTTGGTATTTTTATAGATTCGAACCTCTCATGGAATTTTCATGTAAACGCACTCTGTAAAAAAATTAATTGAGCTAATAGAATGCTTTCAATAATTCGCCATTATGTTAATAAAACTACTCTTAAGAATCTGGATTTTGCAATTTTTCAATCTCATCTCAACTACTGTTGTCAAGTTTGGGGACAAATTGGCAACTGTAATATTAATAAATTGTTATCAGCTCAGCGTCAATCAATCTGAATAATTAATTTTCAACTCCATGATACAGAAACTTCAAAATTCTACAAAAAACTTGAAATTCCTACCTTGTCAGCACTTGCTAAATTTGCTAATTTTCTTTTTGTTTTTGAGTCCCTTAATAGAAAATTTACCTTCCTCTATTACAACCTTCTTCACTGAAAATCGATTTATACATTCACATTTAACTAACATCAATAATGGAAAACTTAATCTCTCTATAAAACTTTGAATTATGGTAAGTATTCAATTACACATCAGTGAATGGAATCAAAGTCTTGTGTGTATTGTGAATGAGTTTGAAAAGTTAAAACTTCAGAAGAGAATTTGTTTAAATTTATTTTCTTTATTTAAAAGAAAATAAATTTAAACAAATTCTAAAAAAAAAATCTATTTCAAGTTTTTATTATTATTAACTTTCTTTAGTTTTTTTTTTTTTTTTTATTTTTATTTCAATAGAAACTTTATTGTTTTTGTAATTAATATTTATTAATTTTATTACTGCTGTTTTTATTATTACTATTTTTATTATCATAAACACTATTATTTTTGCTGTTACTATTGCTCTATTAATGAATAAAGTTATTATTGTTATTATTACTATTTTTTAAATAATTATTATTATTATAATTATTTGGTGTCATTTGGTGTCAGGATTCTGCATGAGTGACTCCTTCTCCAATCAATTATTTATATTTATTCTTAATAATTATACTTTGATTTTATTATTTATAATATTATAGATCTTCTTCTTCTTCTTCTTCTTCTTTTTCTTCTTCTTTTTCTTCTTCTTCTTCTTCTTCTTCCTCTTCTCCTTTTTCTTCTTCTTCTTCTTCTTCTTCTTCTTCTTCTTCTTCTTCTTCTTATTATTATTATTAATATTATTATTATTATTATTGTTATTATATGATTGTAAATTTTTAAAATAAATATCTTGTTGTTTCTTGTTATTTACTAAAAGTTGAAAAAAAAAGAGAATAAAATTTGACTACTTTTGTGGAATTACCCATATATATATATATATATATATATATATATATATATATATATATATATATATATATATATATATATATATATATATATATATATATATATATATATATTGGAAAAAAAATGTAATTTTGTAAACTTTTTCCAGACATTTTATTTTTGTGGATAATTTATATAAATGACATACGAGTTTAGTTGAAGACAATATTCCTTATCTGAATCTTGTAATGCTTTTCCTTGAACAATATCACTTACATGAAGAACTAAAATAAAAAATTTTTAAAAAATTATCAATAGGAAGTATAACATACATATTTTCTTATAAACATAGGTGGCTTCAATACTTAATATATTCAAATAACAATTTTTGTCTCCAAGACTAAATAAATTAAATTGTTTGGAAGCAAAACCAATTCATGCATATTTGTGTTTATATACATAATTGTTTTTATATTATTTGTTTACTTTTATTCAAAAATTTGTACCCAAACAAATTTTATGTCAAGTGCATAAAAAAAAAATTGATTTGGTTCAAATGATCAAATGAAAACTTTCAAAGAAGCTCAACTTTGTAACAAGTCAAAAAATATTATTTACAAATATATTAAATATTACAACTTTTGTAAATCAACAGAAAATGATTTATCAACCTGCAACAGCAAATGGTCGTCTTAGTTTTTGAGTAAATTTTAGACTATCATTATCTTTAATATCCATTCTTCCTATAAAAAAAAACATTCACATGTCAATCAACCTTTATTAACATTATTTTCAAACATTTATTAAACAACATTATTAAACAAAAAAACAAAACAAAAAAAAAAAAAACAAAAAAAAAACCTTCTCTGATGATTTGACAAACAATATAAAGTTTATCTCGTTCAAGATCTTTTAGTCCAAGATCCTAGGTTTCAAACAACATTATGACAATTAATGGTTTGTACATATTCTGATATATATTTGTCAAAATACTCTAAAAATAATTTAAAAACCCAAAACACTTACTGTAAAGACACATGATAAGTTAGAAAATTTTGTAATGTCTTTTGGCATGCCTTTTTTATCCCAGTAAATTAAGAAGTGTTCACTAAAAGAAAAAAAAAATTAAAAAAGAATCACCAATAATATATATCAAATGTAAGTAAAAAAAAAATTTGTTTTTGAATCACAGAACTTATTCAAATTATAAGATGATTTCTCAAAGAAATTATAAAAAAGTTTTCTTATTTCCCCCTATAAACAATTCAATAATAAACTTTCAAACAACTTTTATATATAATTTTAAATAAAATTTATCTAAATCTTATTTAACTTATTTAAAGTTTATTCAATATTTTCTTATAAATCAAATATAACCATTAATTAAATGTCAATTAAATTTATAATAAAGGTAAAGACAGGTGTTTAAATAAAACTAATTTAAACAACTTTACAGTTATTTTAAAATAAAAGTATATATATATATATATATATATATATATATATATATATATATATATATATATATATATATATATATATATATCAACAAACACAATCTTCAAGGCATCAAAGTTGTATGGTATACCATATGGTACTCTGCACAACAAGAGCTGATAAAAACCTGGAGGGACAACCAGATTAAAGCCCAATACCAAAAAAAAGATACTACAATTTCTAAGCACATCTTGACAAATTGGAAAATATTTTTGGATAGTATAGATATACATCTGCTAGTGAAAGACTATTTGGACAGGATAAATATCACTGATTCTAAATTAAAAAAAAAACAGATTGGATGAAATCCTTTATTGTTCACAACAATCTGACTGCCATAATTGTAGCTACATGAAGTGGACACATGAAGTGGACCCTCCTGGAGGCATATTCAACAATTCAAAATCTGGCTGGTTCGATTCAAAAAAATTCTCATTAGACTGCATAAGAGCATAATTCACTGAAATTTTTACATCTGAAACAGCAACACTTACAGGAATGAAGGTCATTATTGGAGATAATTTAGCTTCACATTTTTCATCTGATATACAAAGCATGCTTGGAAAATAACATCTATTTTAAATTCCAAAAACTTCTTATCATGAGGTTTCTAAGGAAAGTTGAAGGATCCAAAAATTTGTTTTAATATTCATTTCCAGAGGGCGTTGTTGTTGCTGTACCTTTCTCTTAAAAATTGCTACATTTTCAACCACCAATAATAAATAATAGATATCAGCTTTAGTTAGCAAATGTAAAAAATGTTGACACAACCCGTTAATTGTGTGTATTAGATATTCTATCAACAGGTGTCAGAAACTTTAAGTAAATAATTGATATTAGAGCATTTGATTTAATTACATTAACATTTAGTCTTTAAAATATTTGTTTTTATAACTAATACCTTACAGCAATTATGTTAAACTTTGATAATAAAGTTTAACAAATAGTGTTATTTTAAAAAAAATAGTACTATTCATTTAACCAATAGTATTATTCGTTAAATAAATAGAACTATTTGTTTAAAGAATAACACTATTTGTTAAACTTTAGTATCAAAGTTTAAGGAATAGCTAATCGCTGTTCGTTTAATGAAAACACTATTCACTGGTGCTTAACTGTTATACTGTTGAAAAAAAAGAATCATCTACTATAATATTTTTGATAGAAAATCATTTGTGATTATGAAATCTATGAAATTGATTTCATAATCACTAATGATTATGAAAATATTATTAAATATTAAACTAATAGTTTTATCAATTATCAAACGAAAGCATAAAAAATTGAAAAAATGATTTTATGTTATTTGAAATTAAATTACCTAATAAAATTGTTTTCCCTCCCATCATACAAAGTTATCAAAACTTCTGTGTCATCACCTACTTTACAGACCACATTTTTTATGCATATATAAATATTATATATACTATGTGTAGATTGAACAGAATAATGACTTTGCATAGTTGTTTGAATATCCATAGGCTAAAAGAAAACAAAAACAAAAACAAATTAAAAAAAAACCATGATAAAACAAAAGTATTAAAAATACTTTTGAAAAAGGTTATTATTTTTTATTTTGTTCAAAATCTTTTGACTAGCTAAAAAATGTGCAGTCAATACTTAGATTATTAGGTCATAACTCTAATTTTTTCAAATTAGAAAAATGAATTGAGGGCATGCATTGTTCAAAAAATATTTGAAAAACTGTAATAACGTTTATCTGAAGTTTAAGCTGATAAAATAATTGTAAACAAAACAGATGTTGCATTAAAAAACCTCAAAATCAACACAAAAAAAAGCTACTAAAATTTCATTATGCCAATGAAAAAATTAAGGTTGAGATTTTACATGGAAAGAACTTTTTTCAGTATAGGATTCAGTATTCTCTGTTTAGCCAGCGCTATTGCACTAAAGTCTTTTTGCGCTCACCCACACACCTGCAAAAACTTTGGCAAGCGCATAAAAAATCGCTTACCAAAAAAAAAACTTTTTTGCAACAAAATGTTTTTGTTCATTTGTTCAACTTTTATGAAAAAAAGCTTTTTTTTTTTTTACATATTTTTTAAAATTATTTTATCTAGTGTTTATTCAAAGCATTAATTTCGTTATTTTTATTTTAATTTAAATAGCAGGAAAAAAAAGAGTTTTTTAAATTGCGCAGGCTTACTTAAAAATTACCATCCTGCCAGTGCTTTTTTGTGCACTGGCATTAAATTTTAAATAGGGAAGACTGAGGATTGTATATCAACTTTAGTATTGAACTTCTAAATATTTTTGGATTAAATTCTGCAAATTGAGAAGCTGAAGAGGCTGAGGATATCAAATTGTATATCAAATTGAACTTCTAGATACTTCTGAATTGAATTCTGGAAACGGAGAGGCTGAAGAGGCTGAGAATAGAAACTCTTTATATAATTATATCAAAATTATTATAAAATTATATCAAAATTATAATAAAATTATATCAAAATAATTATAAAATTATATCAAGTTACAAGTTGCTAAATAAAATAATATAAAATTTGACCCAAACAAGAGTTTTTGTTTTAAAATGGTTTACATTCAGATTATAGTGGTTGTACAGGTATGGTGGTTGTACAGGTATGGTAGGTTGTACAGCAGGCTTTCCCAGGAAAGGCGTGCGGTCGCACGCCTTGTTTGTCCACGCATAGAATAAGTTCTTCAGAAAACGTGACCGGGGCAATATTTTGTGTGAAAGCGGAAATTATTCACAGAGAATAAAAAATAATAATAAAAAAAGGAAACGAAGTCTAAACAAAGTATAAAATTGAAATTGGATGTAAGAAAAATATTTTCATAATAAAAAAAAAAATTAAAAAAAAATAAATTCTTGTAACAAAAAAAAAAAAAGTCTTGAACATTTTTTTTAAACTTTTTATACTGTTTTTGTCTGCTTTTTTAAAGGTTGCTATTTTCAGCTACGAAATTTGATACAAGTCAAGGAAAAGACGACGATAAGTCGTAATGTTTTCACGAAAATAAAAAGACTTGATGCGTAATTTATTCACGAACTTTATCAGACAATGTATTAAAAAACTGATTTATTAGTTACGCTAGACAAATTTGGTTAAACTTTTTCATTTACTTTAGTTTTTACGAAAGTTTATGGAAAGGCGTTGACTTTATTCCCCAATACTTTGACAAGAAAATAAGTTGCTGTTTTAATTATTAAATATGTTATTTCAGATTTTAAACATAACAAAATTTTAATGGGAAAAAAAATCTTTCTCGACTTGTTCTAAACTGATTATACTGAGTCAATGCTCGCCTTTTATTACGTTGAAATTATTCAATTGCATAATTTTGTAATTACGAAAGAAGTTAAAAAAATAATTGCATTGCTTCTGTTGTCATTGTTACAAAAACAGTTCCTTTGGGACATTATTATATATTAACACTCGTTCACAATGTCAATTAATGATTGCAAAATAAACAACTCAATCGTTTGACAATAAAATTTTCTTTCGTTTAAAAAAAACAACAACATATTTTACTAATAAATAGCAATCGTTTTCGTGTTTTCTTGCGTATCAATACATTCAAACATTTAAATCAATACACTTAAACATTTAAATGTATTTACGAAACATTTAAAAATTGTTTATAGTTCTATCGTGTATTTTAAAGTATTACTGACTGATAAAAGTCATAAACAAATTTACATTAAAAGGTCCTTTTATTTTCTTTAAACATTAATCTTTTTCTCTTTGATTTGATTTTTCTTATTCATTTGATTTTTCATAGCTAAAATAACTACCACCCTAAAAAAAAAAAAAAAAAAAATGTAGGTAAACTTTTTTTTAATAATATACATTAATTTTTTAATTTTAAAGCACAAACAGATTTCTGTTATTTATTTTAAGATTGCTTGCATTTTTGCGGTATTTTCGTTTAGCTTTGTTTTGGCGCGAATTCTTGAAACGCATAATAATAAAACGTGGTCAGTTAGTCAGAAAAATTTATTCTATGCGTGGACAAACAAGGCGTGCGACCGCACGCCTTTCCTGGGAAAGCCTGGTACAGGTATGGTGGTTGTACAGGTATGGTGGTTGTACAGGTATGGTAGGTTGTACAGGTATGGTGGTTGTACAGGTATGGTGGTTGTACAGGTATGGTAGTTGTACAGGTATGGTAGGTTGTACATGTACGGTAGTTCAACATTTTGTGGCATATTAGAGTAAATTTTTTAGCTAATTAGCCTAACTACAATTATATATTTAACTTAGATATTGATTTTCTAATTTTTGATTTTAAACCAAATGTTCTACCACAAAACTACTAACTCATGAATATATCCTTTATATATATTATGTAGGTATATATACCTCATAAATATATCCAATATATACTTTATTAGTAGTAAATTCGTTAAAAAAAAAAGTCATCAAATTAGAATAATGGTCTAACAACAATTAAACTTTAAAATACAACATATTGTTATATTTAAATGCACAAAAATGTTATGTTGCATTTAAATGTTTTATTGTTTTAAATTATTTTAAAATACTTTTTTAAGATTAAAAGATTTTTATTCAATTTACCTTGATTTTTTTTTTTACTATTTTTTTTCACAAATGATTTTTTTTTCATTACAAAAACAACGGTTCAAACTATTTAACTACATAATGAATATAATACAATACCTCTACATATCTACATAGTGGCAAATATACCTCTACATAGTAGTGAATATAGCTCTACATAGTAGTGAATATACCTCTACATAGTGGTGAATATACCTCTACATAGTGGTGAATATACCTCTACATAGTAGTGAATATACTTCTACATATCTACATAGTGGTGAATATACCTATATATATGTTAATAATAATATCCATATTTTATTTAACTTTACATAGAGATTTTATACTTTAAAAAAGTCAATGAAATAGATATCTTACTGTTTCTGTTCTTTGAGAAGATTCTAAATTCTTAAAGAAAAAAGTAAAATTTAAAACATTTTTTAAAAAAGTGATGGTTAAATTTAAAATGTGATAAAAAATTTAAAATTAAATTTAAAATGTGATAAACTATAAAAAACACACTCTTTTATATATATCAATAACACCAGTGGATGCCACATCCAAAACTGTTCCAGAACTGTCTCTTATAACTAAATCCAAACCCAAAAATCTAAAGTAAAAAGGATTCTAGTTTTTACTTATCAACAAAATATATAACACAAGCACACACATCACACACAACACACACACACATTACAGAAACATATGACAATTTTTTTTTTTAATTTATTAAAATCATTTAAATTTTCTAATTTTTTATATATATTATATGAGTATAAAATTTCATCCTCAGTTAAGATATCAAAATATATGAATAAAAATGATAAAATAATAGTTAAAATAAAATATATAAAAAAATAGATATTATTTAATAGGTTATTACGGCCGATGCTATTTGCACGGCCGCCGTGTTCCGATTTTAAAAAGGCTATTTGCATGGCCGCCGTGTTCCCATTCTAAAAAGGCTATCGCACGGTCGCAAAAATAAATCTTGCAATCAACTTTTGAGTCACTTCCTGATGATAGATTTTCTTCAAATTTTGCATACACACTCTTGCTTGATGACAATACAATATTCAATAATTAGTTATGCAATAAGTTAACTAATTTAGTTAATTTTAATTAAATTAATTTTTTATATGGAAAGAAGAATTTAAAATTTATAAATAAGTATACTAATTGTTTAATTACTTAAACGCGTGTTTAGCTTATTTGGAAAAGTTGTTGACTTCGTAAACTGAAGGTCGGAGGTACGACTCTTGCATTTTCCTGGATATTTTTTGTTATTTTACACACGCATACAGCCGAATGTTAATAAAATAAAATAGTATTATTAGAAAAAACTTGCAAAATTTGTGTTTTTAAAACATATAAAAGCACTGGGTTTTAAAAATTAGTTTTTAATTTTACTTGTTCTTTTCGCGCTTTTTTTAGAATTTTTTAAGAATTCTATGCAATTACCAAAGTTGTCATTTTTTTTCAGATCTTAATTTATTTTGTTGTACCTATTAATTAATTCTAAAGTTACAATGCAGTCCTATTTCAAAATTTGCCAATTTGATCGTGCAAACAACTGTTTATATGGCACCCATGCTAATAGTCCTTTTTAGAGGTTGTACACGGCGGCCGGGCCAATAGACACTATTGGTTATTACAATAAAAATGTCATTAAAAACTTAAAAGATGTTGAATAAAAAGTCAAAAAGTAAATGATAAACAAATTGGTGATATTATAAAGAACTACATAAATTATAAGTCTTACATGGTTTATTTGTTTATCAATACTGAGTTTTTCCACTCTATACATACACTTTCTTACTTAAGTTTTAATACAAATTTGTTAGAGGTAGATCACAAAATTGAAAAAACATAATAAAATTTATCAAACTATTTTTATAAAAATGAAAATGTTAGTAAATGTGCAAGATTGTTCTATTAATGATTTCATTTTTTGTTTGCTTAAATCAGATACTTTTCCAATATAAGGATCAACTTCAAAAACCTATTTTTATAAGTTTAATAATGAGAAATTTAATGGTATTCCAACAGAAGTGAATTATTGAGTGTTGTTAAGACAAGAACTAAGGATTTTCTAAATCAAATAAAACACACCTAAGAAATTTAAAAAGTTCATTATATCATAAACAAGAACAAGAACAATTTTATAAATTCTTTCAACTAAACATTTAATAAAACTTATTTTGTACAAGAAGTAAAACTAAAAATGATTGTGTAAGTTTTTTTTTGAAAAACAGTGATTTTTGGAACTCCTGTTTCACTTTAATTTAGTTGGAAAAAATTTTTATTTATCTTCTTTTTCCATTGTAAAAGAAACGGAATTATGTTATTGATAAAATCTAAAAATAAATTAGCTTAAAAAAACAGGTTTTTCAAAATTTCCAATGAAAAAATTAGCAAGAATACATGCTATGGAAGCATCCTTAATAATTAGTGTTGTTATCAACTTCAAATAAATCAACAAAAAATTGACATACCAAAAAGTCTAAATTAGTTGACTTTGAAAAATCAAATAGTCAATTTCATTAACTATGGGTTCAAAAATTGATTTAGTCAGTTCCTAACATCCTTTTCTCTATTTTTTCACTTGATTTAACTATATCAATATTTAATTTTTTTATGACCAATAGTTAGAGATATAAGTAGATAAAGATTGAGCCATGCATAAGAATATTATTCATAACAGGTTTTTTAATTCAACCAAAATACCACATTGACTCCTAGTTTACTGTATGTAACACTGTTACTGTATGTAGCATTGTTACTGTATGTAGCAGCGTTCATGTTTTCTTACTACTTATGTTTTCTTAATAACTCATTGATTATGTTTAAATCAAAATGTTAAGTGATCAGTTAAAGGTGTAAAAAAGATGAGAATTTTTATAAATCTGCAACCCTAAAAAAGGTTTGACCAGCTCTGTCCCTTGCACCTTGCTATGGCACAAAAATTAAGCCTTGCAAATTTTTTGCTTTATATGTTGTAAAAATGATATAAAGATTTAAAATTTTTGGAAAATTTTTTCTTTAAATTCAATTGAAGTTCTTTAAGTTCTTCTAATATTTAATTAAATTCAATATTATGTAATCATTGGTAAACAATGATTTCTGATGGACATTTTTAATGTTTGGTTATGTTATAATGCTCTTCATACATTATTAACAATTGAAATAATTACCCTAGACAATTAATAATAACAATCAGTATACATAAACCCCTTCCAATATTATTTCTACATAAAGAAATTCTTGTCAAATGCACTTAAAAGCTGTGCATTTAACTGTAAGAGAAAACGAAGAACAACCAAGAGTTATTTTAGACAACTTCCTTGACTTAATTTTAATATAAATTTAATTTTCATTATTTTATGGTAGAAATAAAATGTCGAAGAAAAAACTTTCATAAAAGTAAAGTCTGGAATTATTTTGTAAAAAACAATGACTCGTTTGTAAAAAATAACTAACTTTATATTTACACTTTGAGTGTAAATATAAATATGTTATAACAAACAAAATTTACATTAAAGAGTTAAAAATATAGTATAGTAAACATTGTATTAATAATAATACAATGGTTACTATCTAAAGCTTTCGAGTCTAAACTTTCATGTTTAACAAATGGTCATCTGTATTTGCTGCATTTGCAAACTCTCTTTGCTGCATTTGCAAAACTGCATTTGCAAACATTTGCAAAGCTGCATTTGCAAACTCTCACTTATACTGTTCAAGTTCGCAGAAATATAGAGATTTAGAGGGATCTGTGTAAACTTGTTTTTCAAACATGTCAACCACTGTCGATTGTTGATAATAAATATTTTATTAAAATGCTATCTGTAATTGATAACAATTACAAATTGGCAATTAGACAAAAGTTTTGTGCAGCTTAATTTTGAATCATTAAAAGCAATGCATCTTTTAAATGAAGCTATGCCATCTAACAACAGATGGATGGACACCACAAGCATCGCATTCATACACCGGCGCCACTACATTTTATTGATCAAAATTTTGTTTGAAATTAATTCGCATTGCATTAAATCTTAGCCCAAAAGCTCATACTAGCTTATATTTAAAGGACCAAATCGAGTCAATTCTAAATGAATGGAAAATAAATGACAAAATACTTTTAACAAGTAGTGACACTGTTGCAAATATCGAATATTGTCTAGAATATTGTGTAGAAATATAGAACATTGTCTAACTAATAAATTGTACATACCTTGTTTTTCATATTAAATTTAATTGTTAAATATGTTCTTGTAAAAGAGAATGAAATATCAACTGAAGAAAACCATTGTGTCTACATAATTTTGAAGAAATGTAGGAAATTAGTTGGATTATTTAAACATAGTAATAAGCTTTCTGCTCAGTTAGTTGTGTTGAGTTAAATAATATTAAAATTGACAATTCGGAAGATAAACGATCAATTGAAATATTAAAACAAGACGTGCCTACTAGGTGGAGTTCTACCTTTTTAATGTTGCAGTCAGTTTTTAAACTTATCGAATCAATCAAAAATATTATAATCAAGTCAGAGAACAAAGATAATAAAGATTTGTAATTAAAACGCTGGGAACTGGAAATCATTGGTGAGCTAATTGATTTATTAGAGCCAATACATAATTTTACAAAAATTTTGAGCAGATAACAATATACCACTTGTTCAAATATATTACTGGCCGCTTATAAACTGATTATTTTGCTAACTTTAAAAGTGAATCAAAAAATTGTACAGTTATGAACCTTGCCATGAAATTCAAAGACAATTTTAATCGAAAATGTGAAGATTTTGACAAGTTATATACAGCAATCTTTGATTTTCTACTTTAAAATTTTTTTAAACAGAGAAAATTGCTTGTATTAAAAAAGCTTATTCTTTAGTTGTTCAATTGAGCTATGAATTGCAGTTCATACTAAATCTTCTAGTCTTTGAAAAATACATTAACCAATTTAGTCGACAGTCAAATTATTTCAAAGTCATAAGAATAACAACACCATCAATATGGTCACAAATATTTATTAATTTTAGGATTGCCTTAACTAGTATGCTAAATAGTAAATGAGGCGAGTCAATACAAATTGTAGTGATATTATATTAGAATATTGACTAGGATAACGTAGATGATGAAATATGTTGCATCAATGCAGGTTTCAGGCTTTCAGAAACATCATTGGCGGTGCAATACATTACAGAGGATGGAAGAGCACCATATACCTACTACTTAAATAGAATTGGTTATAACAGTCTAACATTTTCCCCCTTTAGTTTCTCTAATCTTCAGCGCTTTATTATACTTGTTATATCTTTATGATACTGTAGTTTTATAATTTAGTACACTAGTGTAAGTAATTTATTTAAGGCTTACATTGTGTATGAGTTATTATTATTATTATTAGCATCTTTAATGCATTTTTTTTTCTTTTTCGGTATGGTAATGATCATTATACCAGCTAGCATGTAAGCACTACATTTACACTTACATAGCACTTGCACTACATTCTAATAATTACATAAGATGCTAGTTGCACTAAATATACCTTCCTTCTTTAACAGAGAGATTATTTTTTAACATAAAAGGAATCTCACTACTTTTCTTGATATCTATCTTTTTGGATTTTAACTGAATGGCTCTACAATCTACTAATAATCTGTTCATGGAACCATTCTACTATTACTAATACTTACTAATAATCTGTTCAAGGAACAATTCTAGGATAGTGGCATCCTTTTAAAGTTGTAAGTCAAGTAATTTTTAAATTTGGTAGGATCATTAATGATTGTACTTATTGTCATAGTTGTCACTTTTTTAATCTAATATTCACAACACCATTTCCTTTATCTGCTTTTAACCAAATATTCACAACACCATTTCCTTCATCTGCTTTTAATCTAATATTCACAACACCATTTCCTTCGTCTGCTTTTAATCTTATATTCATAACACCAATTTCCTTTATCTGCTTTTAATCTAATATTCACAACACCATTTCCTTTATCTGCTTTTAATCTAATATTCACAACTCAAATTGATTTGTCTGGTGTTTCTGATGACACCAGACAAATCAATTTGAGTTGACTGAAGGGGTGTCTCATTTGCATCAATTTACGTTTACTGAGTTAGAAAATTAAATTACTAATTTAAAAAAAAAATTATTAATTATATTACTATGCCAATTATTAAATTGAAAATCTCATTTTAATGGTGTCATTAAAGCAAAAAACATTATCGCAGAAACTAATAAAAAATTAAAAGTAGTTGATGAATTTAATAATTTTTCTTTTCACTATCAGATATCTTCTGATAGTGAAAAGAAAAATTATCTTCACCACTAACATCAAAAAATATATCTTCACCACTAACATCAAACAAAATGTAAGTATATATCTTCACCACTAACATCAAACAAAATGTAAGGACCTCATTTTTATTAGTATAATTTGTTCTTTTTTTAGTTATTTTATGAATTTGATTACTGAGCCATGTATAAATGCAATCAAAATTTAAAATATCAACATTTTTATTTCAAATATATAATTAAAGTTTTTCCTAATTGCTATAGATGTTTAGGAATATTCATAACTATTAATGGACTGCCAAAATTATTAATGGACCGGTTCACTTGTCATTAAGTAACAGATTTTATGGATAGATGTAAGGGTCAATTGTCACAAAATGATTAAATTAATTGCATTTTTGTAATTAAAAGTTTCTATTAGCATCAAAATAACTGAATTAGAGTCATTATAAAAATGAATTTAAAAGCCAAAATATTTTTCCCGAATTACAAAAAATAATGATAATAATTTTGATAATTGTAAAGAAAATTGATTTTAAGATAAAGAAAGAAAAAAAAATATATAATATGTATTTACATTTTAATAACATGGTTTAACTTGCATCCTAAAATTTTATCTTTTTTAACCAAAATAAAAACTTTTAGAGTGAAATCGATGCAATTTAATCAATGTTTTTAAGAACAATTTTTTGAGAGAAAATAGTAAAAACAAATAAAATTTAAAACCAATTTAAAAATTTTTTTTAACTGATTAAAAATGTTAAAACAAATCATGTGACTTATTATAAAGATAAAATGATTTTTTGGTAACCAATTGTTAACATTGTGTAAAAGCATTGTTTCACGAGTGCACCATGTATAGTAATAAACAAAGTATATATATATATATTTTATATATATATATATATATATATATATATATATATATATATATATATATATATATATATATATATATATATATATATATATATATATATATATATATATATATATATTTATATATGTATATATATATATATATATATATATATATATATATATATATATATATATATATATATATATATATATATATATATATATATATATATATAAAGAGAGAGAGAGAGAGAGAAAGAGAGAGGAAAAACCCTGTAAAAATGAACAACCATTTAAAAATGTCACTTTTAATCTAGTTCATTAGATTATATTTTATAAGAACTAGAAATCAGTTTAATTGTAGAACTAGAAATCAGTGTAAAAAATTTATCCTGAAACCATATCTAGCCGACCCAGCTATACTTCAAATAACCTGATGTCAAATAACCTGATGGATTAAACATCTATACATAGGAATTATATTATCTTCTGGTTCTAAAAGCTAGCTCTGACATGTTCCAGAAACAGACATTTTTACATGGAAACAACAATTATGTATGTAAACGTATTTCTGTTGCTTATGATACATAAAAAAATAAATAAATAGGAAAGCAAATATAAAAGTAGTATCATATATAGAAAATTAACATAATAGACATTTAAATAAAATAGACATTTAATTAAGACAGATCAAAAAATGTTTTGCCACAAGATGTTTGAGACTCTCCAAAATCTCCAGCCTGGAGATTTTCTTTCAAATTTTTAATAATGCCACGGTTTTTAACCCTCCACATATATAATCCACAGTTTTTAACACTCTCTCCACTTACGTTGTTGTATTGTAATTAAAGAAAGAGGATAGTTATTTTAAGTAATTATTGAATTATTTAAAAGAAAAAAATTATAAATATTATCTATAAATATTATATATAAATATTATATTATTGAACTATTTAAAAGAAAAAAATTATAAATATTATCTATAAATATTACATTATCTTCTGGTTCTAAAAGCTAGCTCTGACATGTTCCAGAAACAGACATATTTTTACATGGAAACAGCAATTATGTATGTAAACGTAGTTCTGTTGCTTATGTATACATAAAAAAATAAATAAATAGGAAAGCAAATATAAAAGTAGTATCATATATAGAAAATTAACATAATTAAAACAACTTTAAAAGTCTCAGTAGGCTCATAATAAATTATGCAAAGTTCCGCATAATAAATTATGCGGAACTTTATTTTTCTCATTTCCTCAATTTAGTATTCTTCAATTCTATTTTTACCTCAAGTGTGTAGAGTCTCCTTAGAAGTGTGTAGTTTCTTCTTAACTGTTGACTTATTATTATAAAAATTAAGAACCATCAAAATTTACTTGTTTTAAACCATCTAACCAGTAAACAAAAATTTATTTGGGGGAGGGGAGGGGGAGTGGAACAGTGTTTTACTGGTTTCTTATAAGACCATCAATTTGTTTATTAGTTCTTTTTATACTTTATTGACATCTTTTAAATTTTTTATTTATTTCTATTGTAGCATTATTATAATATACAGAATCATAGATATACTTTAAATATACTTTTCATTACAGTCTATATTTAAAACCGTTTCCATTAATAATATAAGAACATTTTTAAAAATTGAATTTTTGAAATTACTTATTAGAAACATAAGTGTAATTTAAAATAATTTTCTCTTGCAATTTTTAATATTTTGAGATTTGTTTAGTTGATTTTTATATTTTAAAAAGTTTTAGATTTTTTAATTTTCCCTTTCATTAAGGTTACTTTTTGTATTTTTCTTGCAATTGTCAACTTTTTAACATTTTTTTAACATCTAAAAAATTGTAGCCCAATTAAAAAACTAATTTTTGATTGTAAGTCGAAAAATATATATATGTATGGTTCGAATCACAGTGCAATCACATGCCTTTCGCCGCAAAGTCTGCCATACCAAAAAATATATTTTTACTGAAGTAACAAATTTTATGGTATGCATTAAGTACAACTAAATATATATTTAATACAGTTACAATACATCATACAATGAACACAACCAATATATGTTATACAAAAATAAAGTAAAACCTGTTTCCATAATCAATAATTCTTGCAACCTCCAGCTTTACTTTTTTTAATTGATCCTAAATTGTTAAAAAACTTTTCAAAGTCATTTTTTTCTTAAATAAATGTTAAAAACGAGACTAAACAAAAAAAAATATATTTACTGCTGTTAAAGCTCCTGAGACAACCTGCCTTCTCCAACTAATAAGATCAAACAAGTGTTTGCGCAAACTGTCTATCTTTTCAGAATTTTTCTAAAACATAAAACAATTTCACTCTAAAAATACTAATCATGTTATTTCGTAAACAACAATGCCCTGTTTAATTTTTTTGAAGAATATATATATATATATATATATATATATATATATATATATATATATATATATATATATATATATATATATATATATATATATATAAAATCTTTATAGGAGAGTTTTAATTTCTGAAATAGAAGATTAGAGAAGATTATTTCTGAAATAAAAGAAATGGAAAAATGAAAATTTCTGAAATAGAAAAGTAAAACTATCTTTACAAAAAACTATTGGTGTGTTAATTACGTTGTGTTCATTTAAGCATCCTTTCTTGCTAGAGTTTATAAATTACAAAAAATCTATATTTAAAAAAAAAGGATAAACAGGACTAACATTCATTTGGGGAAAAAAATAATCAATTTTTCAATTATAACCAAAAGTTACTTTATTAAGTTTTTAAAATAACTTATTTTAATATATATTATTTATATAATATATATTATTTCAATATATAATATTTGCAAAACTGTGAAAATAGAATCGCGTAAAGCAAGATGTAACTATAAAAATGATCTTGTTGAAACATCAAAGGTAAATCCGAAACTGCTATATAAATATGTGAACAGTCAAAAAACGATTAAACAAGTAATTAAAGCATTAAGAGATCAAACTGGTTGCATAACAAATGGTTAAAATGAAATTGTTTAAATTTTAAATAAACAATTTCAAGATGTGTTTACCATCGAAAATTCTACAGAAGAGCTTCCAAAAATTAAGAATTTAGGGGATATTATTATTGATGCAGTTAATATAGATTATTTTGATGTTTTAAGTAGATTGAAACATATTGATATCAATAAAACATATGGAGTTGATTCTATAGATCCGTTGATTTTGAAAAGTTCTGCGGATTCCGTAGCATTGCCATTAACTTTAATTTTTATAGAATCTTTTGTTAAAAGTGAATTACCAACTCAATGGAAAGCAGCAAATATTACACCACTATTCAAAAAGGGAGATAAATTAGAAGCTGCAAATTATAAACCAGTGTCATTGACATTAATTACTTGTAAAATTATGGAAGGTATAGTCAGAGACTGCATACAATCATATTTAATGAAATATAAATTAATATCGAAGTCACAACATGGTTCTGTTAAAGGGAAGTCTTGTACAACAAACTTATTAGAGGCGTTGGATTATATTTCATTTAATTTATCGATTGGTATTTCGGTAGATGAAGCACTTTTAGATTTTGTTAAAGCTTTTAATTCTGTTGCTTACAAAAGACTATTGATTAAACTATCTTCATATGGAATTAGTGGTTTATTATTAAAATGGATTGAAGCTTTTTTAAAAACAGAATCCAAAGAGTTATCCAAGGTGATGTTGTTTCTTCATGACAAAGTCTTCAGTGGTGATCCACAAGGATCCGTAATAGGGCCCTTATTATTTGTTATTTTTATTAATGATATATCAAATATATTTAAAAATAAGTCAGAATTGTATGCAGATGATACAAAAATTCTTTCAAAAGTGAATGAAATAAATGTGGAAAATAGCTTGCAAAAAGATCTGGATAGTGCAGAGGAATGGTCTAAAAAGTGGCTCTTGGGTTTTAATTCTAGTAAATGTGTTATAATGCATTATGGTATAAATAATCTGCGATTGAAATATACTTTAAATGGTGTTGAACTGAAAGATTCTGAATGCGAGAGAGATTTAGGTGTATATTTTTCAACAAACTTGAAATGGAAAAAACAAATTATATCAAGTACTTCTAAAGCAAATTCAATGATGGGTATGTTGAAGATGACATTTTCACGAATTGATGCAAAATTGGTTAAAACATTGTATAAGGTATTTATTAGACCTCTTATTGAGTTTGCAGTACCTGTTTGGTCACCTTATTTTAAAGGAGACATATCACTTTTGGAAAAAGTTTAACACAGGATGACTAGATTAGTTCCATCATTAAGGAAAATTAATTATGAAAAGAGATTGGAAATATTAGATATATCTACATTGAAAACAAGGAGGGAAAGTTAGGAATATAATACAAGTGTTTAAATTACTTAACAGATTTGAGGAAATTGATTTAATTAATGAACCGAAACTTAAAATTGATTCAATTACTCGAGGTCACAATCTTAAATATGAAAGAGAAATTGTGAACTATTTACCTCGGCATCATTTTTTATTAAATCGTATGGCCAATTTATGGAACGCTTTACCGGAAACTGTTGTTACTTCAAAAACTGTCAATCAACTTAAAAATAGATAAGATGAGTATAACGCCAAATCAAAGAAGTTTTAACTAAACATTTTTAATATATATTTAGATTAATGCTGTCAAAGTGTGATAAACCACACTCGCTGGATTCGTCCAGCTACAGTTTAACTACTAACTATAAAAGAATTTCAAAAATCATTAACATATTTCTCACCATGTTGCGCTAAAATTTATTTTAATTGTTACTAAAAGTATCCATTTTGTACTAAAAATTACTAAAAATAAGAAAAATAATAAAGATAACTTTAACTGATGAATCTTTTTTGATCTTGTTCAATTAAATCTGTTTTATTTAGTAAATAAAAATAGCTGTCAGAGAGTTAAACTGTCTGTTTAACTGTCTGTGACCTAAGTAGATAATATTATGCATTTTTGAACAGGTTATACAATATTTTATGAAAAATCTATTTAATTTTTTTTTAGTGATCTCATAATTCATAATTATGATAAATACAGATAAATTCATTTAAAAAATCTCTAGAAACCACAAACTTTTTTTGGTATATAGAGATTTTTTTTTCATGCAAAAATTGATTTAGATGTTTATAGTAAAGTCTTGTAAAAACTATATATTGGAGAAATAAAGCCATATGAGCTTATAAGTCAGATAATAGCCATAACATATAAGCAAGATTTTTTTGTTGCAAATGTTATTCAATCAAACCTATCAGGTGGTTTATTGTTTTGGGGTATAGCAGAAGAATTAGCAAAAAATGGAAAAATTTTATTATGGTAAAACAAGTCACAAAAAACCATTAAAAATTACATAATACTTTTAAATTACATAACTTGAATTATTTTTAAGAAAATTTGAGCTGTGCCATACAGCAAAGAAATTTTTGATGCAGAGCAGTAAAAAGTTGCACTGAGGTGCAATGTTGCACTGAGGTGCAATGTTGCACTGAGGTGCAATGTTGCACTGAGGTGCAATGTTGCACTGAGGTGCAATGATGCACTGAGGTGCAATGTTGCACAAAAATTTTGATAAAAATAAACATAATTTTTTGATTTAAAATTAAAGAAACACTTATGCATAAAAACTAATGCAAAAATAACTTTTTAGAAAGAAAATAAGGGGACAATTAAAAGATAATTAAAAAAATGTAACTAAATTAAAACTATTTTTCTTAGGAAACCTGCTAGCAATAAAATTGTTGAAATTTTTGTATTAGCAACAACACTTTTAAAAATTTTTTATGCTAATAACAATCTTTTTGTGCTAATAACAATGATTTTTAAACTTTTTGGACTAGCAATTTTTTGGACTAGCAACTTTTTTAAATTTTTGTAGTAAAATCCTTAGCTTAAACTTTTTTTTCACTCACTAAAAAATAAATTTTTAAGTGAAAACTATACCTAAAAATATTGGTTGTTTGTAATATTTAACTATTTTCTTTAAAACTTTTAAATCTAATATTTTTATAAAAAAAAGTTATTAATATATAAGTAAAGAATTTTTTTAACCAAATTGTGTTGGGTTCCTGGTCTTGTAATTATGAAAAAAGTTTTAATTATCATAGCAACAGTTGTAATTAAGAAAAATGTTTTGTTCTGGATGTGGTGCATGTTTAAAAAATTAATTTGTTAAAAATAAAAAATATATATTTTATATATTTTATTAAATACATACATACATATATATATATATATATATATATATATATATATATATATATATATATATATATATATATATATATATATATATATATATATATATATATATATATATATATATATATATATATATATATATATATAAACATGCAAAATCTCAAGTGATTGTTTAATAAAATTTAGAATTAAAATTATTTTTTAAATTTCATGTCCATTTTCATCATAATACTTAAGTTTAATTTCATTTTTATTTTTCTTTACATTAATTTTTATTTATATTACTACTTTTGATAGTCAAATTTCTGCAAACCTTTAATATTTTATAAAATAATATAAACTAATATTTACATCAGCTAGATTAAAGATTATACTGTAAAGTTTTTAAAGCTTGTAAACTTTACAGTATATTCAAACTTTATATATTCAAACTTTTTGATTAATACTTTACAGTATAATGATTCAAAATATGTTAAAAAAAAAATAAGATACTGTATAATCTTTGTAAATGTTTTAATTAAAAATACTTTGTAAAAGTAAAAGGAGGATACTTTGAAAAAACAAAAATTAAAAAATAATGTACACTAAAGATAATCGAATAATTACAATAAAAGCATAACAAACATTGTGTTTTCATAAAAAACACAAATAACAATGCATTTAAATAGTTTACAAAAATTTATTAAGATTATTCAAATGTATTAAAAAATCTACCACAAAAATTGTTTTCCATATGGTTCCCCATTCCTTTAAAACAGATGTTATTTCAAGTACAACTGAAATTTCTTTTGATGCCCTCATATCAACTTCATGTATCCTGCAAAAAGAAAATAATCATTCAACCCAAAGTTTTAATTTGTTCAAAATTGTTTAAAATTGTAAAATAAGTAAAATTATTTTAAGTTATAATCAAAACTTTTAACTAAAGTTATAACTTTACAACTATAGTTAAAATAATTGATGAAT